TTCCCTTTGAGGATTAGAACAGAGATTGGAGAGAGAGTGGTTTTCTTGTGAGAAATGTGCCCACACAGGTAATTGGGCATTCTTCTCTTTAATAGATTTCCAGTGTGTGTTCATTCTGGTGTGCAGTTCTTAGGAGAGACCAGCAGGCCAAGGCACTCAAGGGAACTCACCCCTACCCAGCCCCAGATCAATGTGTAGGGAAGATTAGGGCCTCCAATGGGACACTTACGTGCCTGTACACCAGTGCCAGGAGCTTGGGGAATAAACAGGAGGAACTGGTCCTCCTGCTAAACAAGAATGACTACGATTTCATGGGGATAACGGAGACCTGGTGGGACTCCATCTATGACTGAGCCATGGGTATAGACGGCTATACCTTGTACAGGAGAGATCATGTAGACAAAAGCGGCGGGGGTGTAGTTCTCTATGTCAAGGAAAGCAACATATGCCTGCAAGCTGACATTGGCATCCAGGCTGGATGACTGGAGAATCTCTGGGTTAAAATCAGTGGTGAACATGGCACACAGGATACAATGGTAGAAGTCTACTACAGACCTCCCAATCAGGATCAAGAGCTCAACCAGAAATTCACCAAGGAACTGGCTGAGGCTGCATACTCCCGGTGCATGATTGTCATGGGAGACTTCAACTACCCAGACATCTCGTGGAAAGAGCACTCGGCCAAATCCGAATGGTCACAAAGCTTCCTCACATGCATGGATGAGCTCTATCTGACTCAAGAAGTCTGTGAACTGACAACAGGCAATCACTGCTCGACCTGGTACTGGCAACAGGGGATGATCTAGTCAGCGACCTAATGATCGAAGGGAAGCTGGGAGACAGTGACCACGAGCTGATCACTTTCACTATCCACTGTAATGCTGGCAATGCAGAAGTCCTCGACTTCAGGAAGACTGACTTTGACAAGCTCAGGAGGCTTGCTGGCAAGGGCCTAAGCAACCACGACCCAAAGGGGAGGGGAGTTCAGGATGAGTGGTTGCTCCTCAAGGGAGCGATCCAGAAAATACATGCAATGTCTATCTTATCTTGGAGGAAAGGCAGCAAATGGGCATAGCAGCCCCCTTGGCTCTGCAGAGAACTTGTGGACCTCCTGCATCTAAAAAGAAAGACCTATAAAGGATAGAAGACTGGAGCCACCTCAAAGGAGGAGCATTCTTCACTGGTACAGACCTGTAGGGAGTGAACCAGGAAAGCCAAGGCTGCGACTGAACTCCAACTGGCTACATGTATCAAAGACAATAAAAAGCGCTTTTTTTTTTT